AGGAAGAGCAGCCCGGGACTGTAAATCCCCCAGCCTGCAATTCACACGCTAATCTGTTAGCAGGAGCCATGAACAGGTGCATTTACAGTTTGTGCTGAACTGCAGAACTCAAAATGTTATGGTTTTGGTCTCTTTCTTTATACTAAAGTTGTGCTGTAGGAAAATGGAGGAAAATATTAAAACCTTCAGTGTTTGGTTTAGGCCTCTGTGCCCCATAATCATTGAACACCATCAGCATGATCAGCAACACGTAGCTCCACCTTGCGCTGTTAGATGCTGTGATGTTGCTTCATAAGAGCCTTGTTTAATTATCCAAATACCTAATGATCTCATGACCTGCTTCCCCCCAACCCCCTGAGCAGACATATGACATCTATATTACACAACTCTACCGTGTGTCATTTGTTATTTCCTACACACAACCTTCAGTTTTTTCCTTATTCAGCAATTTTCCCTTCTGGTCCACACAGAGGCTCCTTACCTTTGATTTTAATTCATTCAACACTGATTCTTGGAAGTTTGTCCCATTGCCATTGTGTTTGGGAGAGTTCTGTTTAAAGGAGATGCAAGACGTTGAGTGCATTTTGGGGGGCAGCACTGTAGATTAGTGCAGTGGTTCCCAACCCTGGTCCCTGAGGAACACTGCCCTGCATTTTAGTCGTTTCCCTGCTTCAACACACCTGATTCAATGATTTAATTACTTCTTCAAGTTCTAGCGACGCCTGTTAATCACCAAATCATTCAAATCAGGTGTGTCAAAGAAGGGAAACAGCTAAAACATGCAGGATGGAGTTCCTCAGGGACCATGGTTGGGAACCACTGGATTAGTGGTTACCACTATTGCCTCAAATCAAGAAGGTCACTGTTTCAAACCACGGAGTTGAACCTGTGGTCTTTCTGTGTGGTGTTTGCACGTTCCCCTTGTGTTTACATAGGTTTTCTTCAGGTACTCTGGTTTCCTCCCACAATCTAAAACATGCATATTTAGCATGCTAAGGCCCAGGCCTCTATAGAAAAAGAGAAATGTGATCTAAATGTGATTCGCCTGGTTAAAATAATTTAAAAACACTTTTAAAAACCTGAGAAATCCACTCGTCTGTGCCCGTAAGGCCTACACAGCCTTGCAGATAAGCAGTCGTCAAAGTGAAACATGACCGTTTGTTTGGATTCCATTTAGCTGGCTGAACTGGTATTGACCTCATAACTGCTCGCCAAGTACACACACACACACAAACCTATCTCCACTCTGCAGAGCAAACAACAAAGGCAAACCCTTTCTGTGTAAAATGATTGTCAACCAAGGTAACTTAAGGCCTGACAATGACATTAAGACAACTAGAATAGATGTCGTGCTGTATCGCAAGATGAAACATTGTTTTCCAAAAATCTCGTGCCACAGAGCCAGAGCGACGACACACAAAGATTTAGTGTTTTCTTTGAACACTTCTGCATTCCTAATGAGTTGGATAAATGAGTGGCTGCGCCGTTCAAATTAATCTTTCTGTTTGCGTTTGCAGACATTCCACCAAAGATTTATTAGCCAATAAGGTGATGAATGGCACTGGTAGTAAAAGTACAAACCAAGCACATTAGTGCTGTAATTTGTTTGTTTTTGAGCCCCTGAGCTCTGAGAGGGGCAACCACAGAGTCGTGACACAAACCACACAACGCAAACTATGTGCAGGCAAATAAAGAATAACAGGTGCCAATATGGGTTTATGGCTCTTATAAATATTGATAATAATAATAAGTGAAACGACAAGTTTTGCTTTAATTTTTGTTTTCATATTTACAGTATATCAAATCAGATTTTTTGAATTTGTCAATTTCTTATTTGAACAAATGAAATTAAAGACAGAAACACACACATCAGATAATAAAATAATTAATTCAGTGTTAATATTCGGTAAGTTTTCAAATGTTTTGAACTCAAATCAACACAAATAATCTGTGTGAAGATTCACTTTACAGTGAAACTGGATTATAAGTATTTTCAAATTGAAACCAGCCTCAAATAAATCTACATCAGTTGTAAAATTATTTTCTAAAATTAAATATGAGTTTTGTGAAATGTGAAATCACTTAAACATAAAACTGCATTATTATGTTTTTCTTTCATGGTGACGTTTCAGTTTATGGTCAAAAGTAATCTTGTAGTGGTTCAAATCTCAATAAAAACATTTATTAGCATAAACTGCCGGTTGTCTCTAAACTGCACAAGAAACACACAGAGTTTTGCGATTATTAAAAAAAGGTTTTTGTATTACAAGTGTTTGAAGGTTGCAATAAATATATAAACTTTTTATTCAGGGTTTTTGGCCTATTTTGGCTGCTTAATCTGACAGATAACTCAGACCAAGTACATAGGAGCAGTATGTGTGTGTGTGTGTATGTATTATTTTATTTGTTTTTAAAGATTTTTGCCCAATTATTTACAATATACCAGCAATTTGACATCAATATGAGTGATTTCAGTTTGACAATTGTCTAAGGGCTTTGGGAATTTCCACACCTTAATTCATGACAGTATATACATATATATATCCACTATATATATATTTGTATATGTATATATACATATGTACACATATACATATATACTGTGAGGAAAATAAGTATTTGAACACCCTGTGACTTTGCAAGTTCTCCCACTTAGAAATCATGGAGGGGTCTGACATTTTCACCTTAGGTGCATGTCCACTTATTTTCCTTACTGCAT